GGGGGGGGGGGGGGGGGGGGGGTGGTGCCACATGAATTCACGTGCTCTATTTCTATAGATCAGAATATTATGGGAAAGGTCTGAGAATGGTATCAGAGGAAATTAATGTGAAGTGGGTACATCCCAGTTTGAGCTACTGTAAGTTTTGCCCCAACAATCCTGTTAGGACTCTTTGATAAGAAAATCATAGATTCAGTATGGTAGAGCTTTTTGTTACTATGAAGATTTAGGAGTATTTTAATGTGTGATAACAGGTGGAAGATGGAAATAAAATACAGTATGTAATTGTATATTATTTATGAGGTGGTTTCAGTGCTGGATATTTAACATTATAGAAAGTTTTTGTGTGACATAATGCAAATTTTACAATGGCTTCTTTTCACAAAAGACTATCAAGAAATACACTAAAAAATTAAAACTTATTGGTATTCCTGCCCAATAATTTTGTTGTTCACTTTTCTGAGTTTGGAAATTCCTTTTTTAAATTAAAATTTCTATTAGAGAAACTAAACAAAGTATTGGAGAAAGATAAACTTTAAGACCAACCCTTGGATGCTGACCACTGACCTGAGCATCTAGGAATGGAGAGGGTGGGAGAGAAGGAAAGGAGAAATGGGGTGGGGGGGCAGGAGTGCACAGTGGGCTGTGGTGGAGCACTGGGGATTCTTTGGTGGTGGGAAAATGACCGAGACCACACCTGGGGGGAGAAATCCCACATTGTGAATAAACTAACAAGGATGTAAAATAATCGTACATCACTAAAAATAACCATTTTTGACTGGTTACAAGTCAAGTTGCAAGTTACCTTCCAGAATGGATGCTCTTTGTTGAAGTAGCTACTCGAGAAAAACCAAGTTTCTGAACCGCATCACTATCACCACGCTGTGTTCCTACCACAGAAGCGCCCGGCATTTCACAGAGCCTCACCACTCCTCTTGTTGCCACTGGACTCCACACCCTTCTACAGCTTGTGTCATTCATTCAGGCCTCACCTACTTTTCTGTATTTAGTTTCGAAAGCATGGATGAGTTACAGTTTCCCCATTGTTTTTTCTAAAGTAGATGGTAGGAAAGAGCAGAAGAATAGAAAGTAGAAAAACAAACATGGCTATGCTAGGTCAAAGATGCTTGAGAATAAAGGAAATATTGAACATCAAGATTTCATGTGCTCCTCAAGTAGGTCTGCAATCAAAAACATGGTTATGGGGCTTCTCAAATTGATGAAACACTGGGATCTTGCCAAAGCCCAGTGATGCTGAAGCTGCTCATTTAGAGCTAAATTCCAAAGCAATAATTTAATGTCAACGACGATGGGGGGAAACTGACTCCACACTAGAAAATAAACCGATGCTTCATTTTTTAGTGTAGGTGACATAAATTCGTTTGTAGAAGATAAGTATTCAAGTGTTTAGAAGTATTAGGGCTTTTTAATTTGCTTTCAAGAATTCAACAAAAAAAATCACTTTCATAAATATATACATAAAAGATTGGGTAAAATATTAAGGATTGATACATTTTGGTAAAGGGCATGTAAGTGTTCACTATTTTCACTTCAACTTTTTTTTTTTTTTCCTGGTTTGGAAACAAGAAAAACACCATGAAGTGATAAATGTGTACATACCTAGGACTGATTCAATACATTTGGAGTGAGGCCTAAGAGCCTATGTTTAAATAACAATTCCAGAGAGTTCCATTACTGGTTCTACAGAGACCAAATTTTGAGAACAATGTTTAGACATGGTGGAGAATATTGTTTTCTTGCCAGTTTTCATCGTGAAATGGCTACAGTCCCCAGGTTTGAGGTATTTTAACTTTGAGAGCTACATTTGGTTTGCCTGAGCAGCCTTTGCCATTTTCTCGTCCTTGTAAGAGTGTTATTTCTTTCTCAGAAGATCTTCATCCCAATATACAATATACAGAGACTGACAGAATACCTACCTATCCCTTCCCTTTCACAAGCAGGCAAAAACAAATTTGCTAGATTTCTATGATGCCCAACAAATGGCCACAAATATAACAGCTGAAAACACACTTTATCTCACAATATGTGTAGATCAAAGACCCAAGCATATTTCATTGCATCTAATATTCAAGGTTTTCCCAGGTTGCAATCAAGTGTGAGTCTGGGGCCTGGAGTGCCCTTTTAAGTTCACTGACATTTGTCAGAATCCAGTTCCTTGAAGCTGTAAACAAGCAACAAGAGATCACCTGCTATTCCCCAGCATATGGCCCTCTTTACAACATGGCAGCTTGCTTCCTCAAGGCCAACAGAGAGTGACTCCTTTGTGTCAAGAGTCTGACCATCTGTTAAAGGACTCACTCCTTAGGCCAGCCCACCCAAGTAACCTCTCCTCTGGTTACCTCAGACATCAACTGACATGCAACCTTAGTGACATCGGAAAAATTCATTCACCTGTCATACAATGTAATCTAATCAAGGTCTCAAGAAACCAACATATTCACAGCTCCAGTCCATATGCAAGGGGAAGGAGTTATATAGACTGTGCATTCCAGGGAGTGAGAAATCTACAGCTTTCTTACAGTCCTATCCACTCATTATATCACTTGCTAGAGGCAGACTCTAAGAGGTCTCTCACCGATCACTCCATTTCCTGGTATTCAGACCCTGCACAGTCTTCTCCCACAGTTCCAGTGTTGTTCTGTGCAAAGGGCAGAAAACAGCCAAAATGATATGTGACTTCTGAGATTAGGTTATAACTGGCTTCTCTTTGGCTTCTATAGCTCTCTGATCACTCCCTCTGTGGGAAGTCAGCTGCCCTGCTGTGCAAGCAGCCTTGTGGAGAGATCCCTATAACAAGGAATTGAAGCCTCCCAAACAACCCAGTGAATAAGCTTGGGAGTAGTTTCTATAGCCCTTTTAAATGCCTGTCACCCTAATGATGCTAGCCAAAATAAGTCAGAAGGAAAAAGATAAATATCAGACGGTATAAGTTATATGTGAAATACAGTGAAACAAACAAAAGGTAAAGAAAGGGTCAAAACCAGAAATCTGATCATAAATCTGGGGCACACAGCAAAGGATGGGAATAGAGGGGTTCAAACCAGGGAGGGAAGAGCACAAGGAGTATGGTGATGGGTCACAGGTGATATTTTACTGGTGAGCTATGGGGGCTACGATGATGTAATAAAAAATAATTAATGAAAAACAAACAAATGACTGCCACTTTAGCCAACACCTTAACTATAAACCCATGACAGACACGGAGCCAGAAACAGCTAGTTAATTCTAGATTCCTGGCCTTTAGAAACAGTGAGAGATAAGTGCTTGTTTAAACCTGCATTATTTTTTTTTTTCCAAAATGCAGCAAAAGAGCTAATACAACACCTCCCCTAGGCCAGACTAGGGTAGGAAGAATGAAATATGCCTTTAGGAAAAAGAGGTTCACTAACAACATGGGGAAAAGTAGATATACAATGAGTCCTCAAAGAGAGGAGCAGAGTCAAACCCCCTTGGTTGGATGGTACAAAGGAGACAATGGCATTGTGCCTCAGCATCTAGGTCAAGAATGACTTAGTGTCATGCCTGTTTCCAGTATTTTCATCTAACACATTCTGCTTCCTAACCTCCCCCCCAACCCCCTGTAAGTTCAGGGTCTTCCACAGTTCATTCCACCTGCTGAAAACATTTTCACTTTCTATCTCCAATAAGTACAATTTTACACTGATATGCAATGCAGTCAAAGTTGACTGTTCCTCTTCCTTATCTCTCAGCATCTGATTAAACTGACTTGAATCCAGTTTCTGGATTGCAAACAGGTACTCCGACTCATGAAAACCCTCTGCGTGATTAATTTCATGCCTCACTCTGGTCACTTTTTGTTCTTATTTTATTGTATCTTTCCCTACAAGGTCATATTGTCTGACCCTGAATCACATGTTAGAGGTCATGTTTTTCAGGTTCCCTGGAAAAGAAGTTCTCTTTACTTGTGTTTCTGAGAAAGTTCCTATAGAATTTTCTCCCAGGGAAGTCTTAGCATGCTGAGAACACAGCAATTTGACTAAATCATCTACATTTATCCAGGGTAAATTTCCTCTATAGTGTATGGCATTTGGCTTCCTGACTTAGCTAATCACTCTCGGTTTTGAGCCAACTGTTCATGCTGAAGTAGTCCAAGAAGTCATTGTAAAAAGAAAACACAATAAACAAATCCCACACATGAACCAAGCCAAGATTCTGAATTCTATGACGAGGTTCCACATCTAGTTCATACTTTTGATTCTCAATTCTGGACCACAGTGAGTTTATTAATTGGGATCTTTCTCACTTACTCTCCTTCATATCATAAATTGTATTTTTCTTCTAAGTAACCCAGCACCATTTCCAAAGTGACAGAAAAATAAAGCATTTCAAAATGTGTAATGTATAATCCTAAATTACATAATTATATTAATGGTGTTTGCTTTTGATTCAATACATCTGCAGCTAAAAACTGAGCTTAAGGAGCTCAAAGAAATTGACATGAACAATAACCTCGATTGCTCCCCTAAAGAATGTTCTCACTTCACCATATTGGTTAGTATCAGTGACTTTGGAAACAGACTATACCCAGCTTTTCCATTTAAAGTCATGTAACATTGGCCAAGCTACCCAATTATTCTAGCTCAGTTTGTATCTGTGACATAGCAATAGTAGAAATATCCACCCTGAGATCATTGTTATAAGAATTATCTTATTATCAGGAAATTGGGTCTTCCTATCAGGAAATTGGGTCTTCCTATCAGGAAATTGGGTCTTCATGGTGGTTCAGGAAGACAGCACATTAAGCTATGGCCACCTCAGCATAAATTTGATCCCTATCCAGGGAACTAACCCTCATGATGCAGCATACCTCTTCGGGCTCATCTGTTGCTCCCCTCAGCAGTGTATTTCCGAAGATCTGCCTATTCTGCTCCCCACTCTGTCACTGGTGAATCCTCTCACCTCCCCTGCACCTCTGGCCTACACTCCAGTTCTTGTAAATAAAACTTTGAAAATGTATATGAGGAAAATATTTCAAATACTACAAGGAAAACAACATGAGTTAGACAATAAGTACAACCCATAAAGAAATCTGATTGTGTATCTCACCACAGCAGGTACTCCTTAGGCTTTAGAATCATTCAGAAGAGACAGCTCCCTCACATCCTGTGTAGTGTGGTTCTCTCTGTGGATAAAATTAGAGTAAGGTGATCCCAAAGTATTAGCACCCTAAAGTATTAGTATTAGAGTAAGGTGACCTCGGAGTATTAGTACATTCCAAGAAGAAAAAAAAAAAAGTACATTCCCTTGCAGGAGGATATTGTACCACATTAAAAATTATTTCTACAACATATTTGTAAATCATGTCTAGCATATAAGAAAAAATAACTAGACACTCAAGCACTCAAGAGACAATCTCATAGAAATAAAGTAACCCTAACAAATGCTGCAGATGTTGCAGTTTTGGACATAAATAACCTCCTTATGTTGTTCCAGGAGACATGACACAGTAGAGAATTTTGTTATAAAAGTGAAAGCCATTTTTTAATTTTTTGCTCTTTATTTTTGAAAGCTATTTAAAAGGACCAAACAGGCACTATTAGAATTTGAAATAAATTAACAATGTAGGGTCTCTTTATTCTTTCTCCCTTTCCTAGTAAAGTTACCCTTTTGGATATTAAAAAAAAAAATTTACTCTTAGACTAATTTTGTTTTTGCTTTATTTTTTTTATGTACAACATATGCACAGAATCATGTGGAATTTGTCATTCTCCACTACATAATACCCCCTATGTTCACCAATAAGCAACAATTCAATACAGTGATACAATAGTTATTTAGATAATCAAAGAAAATTTGTTGCCTGCAACATAAATTGATAAGAAAGAATGATCTAGAATAGCACAAAGAGAATTTTAAAAGTGAAAACAAAG